TGTGTGTGTGTATACAATATATAATATAGTGTATATATATGATATACATACATATATACATTGTATAGAAATATATTTCATTTGAAGAGCACAGGGAGAAGGTGCAGAGTCAAAACATACAACAAAATTACTTTGCAGTACACATCTTTTTTTTTCAATTTTCAGAGTCCACAACTCAGCTACAAAATCGTTGACCAACCGATCTGACGTAGTGCTGTTCTCGGAATAAACTTACCAAATTAATTCTTTTTTCTTTAAACAGATTACAAGGCTGTGAGCCCAGTGCTTGGATAAAGGACTCATTCAAACAGTAATTTATCCGAAACAGTCGGAGATGGCCGGCAAAGAGGATGCTTTTATTGTGGTTTTAGCAGTGGATCAAAGCGAGCACAGTGAATTCACTTTTAAATGTAAGTACAAAGTCGTGTCATCGTTGTCGTCGTAGTCGAGGTCATCCTCCTCCTCCTCCTCCTCCTCCTCCTCCTCCTCCTCCTCCTCCTCCTCCTCCTCATCATCATCATCATCATCATCATCATCATCATCATCATCATCATCATCATCATCAGCATTATCATGTTAAGAGCCGCTAAGCATAATATTGACAATGGAGCCGAAAAAGAGCCTCGCTCTCGCTCGAAGATTTCTTTGTGGAGTCCGTCAGGCCCATTAAGAAAAAAAAATCATCATCATCATCATCATTTCTGTCTTCAACATCAGCAGCCGTAGTAACAACAACAATAGCAGCAGCAGCACATAACATAACACCGCCATACTGATGATCATCAGATGTGCCAAACCACCTTAGACCAACAGCATCTCCAACTTAAGAAGAACATATTTCCTTTCTATTCACTAAGATGACACCGGAGACTGTGGTGTAGCCTGAGTTTGATTCCCGTAAGGGGTCAGTTTTTACCGAGAATCTCGATCTTTCTTCTGGGACGTTGTATGCCCCTCAGCCCGTTTTGGCGTCGACTCCTAAATGACCCAAAGAGTGTCAACGGGGGCGTAAAAAATACCAATATTTTAAAAAATATATACAGTCACAAGACATCAAACTTGTTTTGGCCGGCGAATACAAATCGCATTACACCTACATAGAAAATATCAGGATAATCTCTTTCCAAATATACATGTAGTTTCGCTTTTTGGGTTAACCTTATTTATAAAGTTAGATAACACGAAAACATTCTTATGGACTTATTGCAGATTTCATATCATATCCAACCACCACATATTTTCCTGAAAGATAGCAATTTATTTATTTATAGACGGGTCAGACTTGTATACAAAACTCAACCAAGCCTTACCTGATCCTTCTTTCTTTAACGCTCTCACCACGACCCCCCCCCCCCCCCCCCATCCCTTCCTGGTTTTACCTCATCGATTTCCCGCCTGTGTTTTTGACACCTGGGAATGCCCGTAGACCACCTAGGGGCTTAGCTCAGCGTCCACTCTTATTATATACTCTGCAACACTGAAATGAGCGTGTTATTGTGGGGAATATGGAAGTTCGAATTGCAGCCTCGTCTAGAGTAGTTTACTTTTGGAGTGAACAATTGTTTGGAGACGGAGATAGACAGGACGATAGATTTTAAAAACGCCCTCCCCCCTAAAAAAAACAACAACAACAAACAAACAAACAAAACAAACCCCAACTGATTCAGATAATATATTTTTGAAGAGATATTGATGTAAACGAATTCAGTAACACAGATAGATAGGGAGAAATGGATGGATGGATGGATGGATGGATGGATGGATACATATGGGTCGATACTGGTGAACGAAGCGGAAAATAATGACAACCATTAGGAAACTGTTCCATTGAATCGTGGATCGAAGGAACGGATGCATTAATAGGCGTTGTGTGTTTAAATGGACAAACACACACACACACACACACACACACACACACACACACACACACACACACACACTCACACACAAACACAAACACACACACACAGACAGACAGGCAGACAGACAGACAGACAGACAGACGGACGGAGGGACGGACGGACATACAGACAGACAAGCAGACAGACGTACATGAGAGGGAGAGAAGGCGAGGTACGGACACGGAAACAAAGAGAGGAGGAGTGAGAGAGGAGGAGAGAGAGGGGAGGAAGAGGAAGAGGAGAGGGAGGGGCGGGGCGGGAGAAAGAGAAGGGGAAGGCAGATACACCAACAAAACAAACAAGCTAATAAACAAAGACAAAACAAACAAACAAACATGAAAACAGAAAACTATTATATTCATACAGAAAGGCTTACATTAAGAACTGAACCGATAAATTGTCAATTAATGTGTATCGACTGACTCCGTTTTCCTTCTGCAGTCCACACGAATGCTTTGGAAGCTTTGGTTCAAATACTCATTCTTCATATTGTATCAAGGTTTTCTCCCTATAATATTATGCACCCTTGAGAAATGGCTGTGGAATTACACACACACGCACACACACACACACGCGCGCACACAAACACACACACACATACACATATACATACATACATACATACATACATACATACACACATACATACATACATACATACATACATACATACATACATACATACATACATACA